AGTACTCATTCTAATTGGATTACCAGCAGGACCCTGGATCTGAAACTATATGGTCAATTATGTATCAATTCAGTAAAATTAATGACCTCTAGGACCAACTACACCTCTTTAAAGCAGGAGGGGGCCACAATTTGACTCATTCACTAAGACTAGTGGGGAAAAGTAACATGTGGGGAAAATAACAGAGCCCCAGACCTTAGCAGGCCCCAGACTCCATAGTGAAAGTACCATTCAGGCCATAAAACTCAGCATGTAGACAGCACCACCTGCCAAAACAAAAACAAAGACCTAATCCATCAACGTCCAAAGTTCCGGGAAAGTCTCTAAATGTACTAACCTTGCGTTTTTGCTTCTGTAGTTCTGCTTCTGGCTAACTGTTCTTGTTAACTGAAGTATGTCAACTGAAAACATGGTTTTTGTGCTTAAAAGCTCACCCTGAGAAAGGTTCAGAGCTACACTGGGATACCGAACACCCAGTGTAGTCACCAGCTGGCTAACAAAGGCTTTCTATAGGCTTAAACCCATGTCCATGAGGTCAGCATTATCCAGATGGTAACACACAGACAAAACTACAGGCCAATATATGATTAATCAATACAGATGAAAAAATTCCTCAACAGAAGAGCAGCAAATTAAACTTTACAGCATATTTACTATGACCAAGTGGGACTCATTCCATGAATGCAAGATGGTCCAATGTATTCAAATTAATAAACTGAAAAGTCACATCAAGAAAATGAAGGACTGTAAACCATATGATCACATCAATGTGGAAAATACATTTGATAAAATTCAACACCCTATCATGATAATAGAACTGAAAAATTGGGACTAGAAGGAATATACTACAACATAATAAGACCTTTATAATACAACGATAGCTAACATTAAGGTCAAGGGAATAAACTGAAAAGACTTCTTTCTAAGTCCTAGAACAAGAGAGGGATGTTCTCTTTCACTACTTTTATTCAATACAGTGCTAGAAATACTAGCAAGAGCAATAAGGACAGAGAAACAAACATTCATTCAGGTTGAAAAAGAAGTCAAACTGTTGCTGTTTGGAGATAACATGATCTTACATACAGAAAATCACCAAAAACAACAAAAAAACTATTAGAATGAGTGAGTACATTCTGCAAAGTTGAAGAATATAAAATTAGCATACAAAAATTACCTGAAATAAAAAACAAGAAAGCAATTCCATTTACAATACCTACAAAAGTAAAATATTAAAAATAAATTTAACCAAATATGTAAAAGATCTCTATAGTAAGATGTATAAAACACTGATGAAAGAAATTGAGAAAGATGTAAAAATATGAGATGTCTGTGTTTATGGATTGGAAAAATCAACACTGTTAAAATGTACTAGCAAAAGTGATTTACAAATCTGATTCAAACCTTATAAAATATTACAGATGCTCTATACAGAACTAGAAAAAAAAGCATTAATAAAAATCACATGAAACCACAAAGGTCCCCAAGAAACCAAATATATGTTAAATAGAAATAAAAAAATAGGAGGAACTATAATTCCTGACTTCAAAACAACTGCAAATCTAAATTGATTTTTTAAAATATTAGCATGGTCTGACATAAAAAAGTATTCACAGAACAACTTCAAATAATAAAGTCTAGAAATAAGCCTATGTATCTACAATCAACTCTTTTTCAACAAAGTTGCTAAGAACACATAATGGAGAAAGAACAGTCTTTGTAATAAATGATGCTGGGAAAATTTGATAGCCACAGACAGAAGAGTCTCTTGAAAATTATAAACATCAACTATCTCTCACCAACAAAAAAGCAATTCAAAATATATTACAGGACTATGTATATGACCTAAAATGATGAAACTAGTAGAAGAAAAATTAGAAAAATGCTTTAAGACATTGGAACTGACAGGAAATTCTAGGAAGGATCATAAAAGCACAAGAAATAAAAGCAAAAATAAAATGGGGTTCCATTACACTAGAGTTTCTGCACAATACAGGAAACCACAGAGTGCAGAGACAGCCTAAGAAATAGCAGAAACACTTGTAACTCACACATCGGCAAGGGTCTGATATGCAGACTATATTAAGAACTGTAAAAAACTCAGAAAATCCTCCCAATAATCACATTTAAAAATGAACAAATATACCTGAATAGGCATTTACCAAAAGAAGACAACCATACAAGTGGACAATAGGTACATGAAAAATATGCTCCACACCACTACCTTTTAGCAATAATTGCAAACACAATGAGCTGCCACCTTACACCAATGAGCATCGCTATTAACAAAAGGCTTAAAGATAAGATGTGCTAGTGAGACTATGGAGAAAAAAATATTTCACTCTGTTTATGGGAAAGCAAGTTAATATACACAGTATGAAGAACAGCATGGAGGATCGTAAAAATATATCAATAGAACTACCATATGACCTAGGAATCCCACTATTAGGAATATTTACAAAGGAAATTAAATTAGCATGCTAATAAGTCATCTGCACTCACATACTCAATGCAGTACTGTAATTCACAATAGTTAAGAAATAGAAAAAAACCCTAAGTATTCAAAAATTGATGAATGGATAAAGTTGTGGTTTATGTACAGGATAAAATATTATTCAGTCATAAAAGTCATTCTGCCATTCCTAACAACAGGGCTGGAACTGGAGATCAGTGTGTTAAGTGAAATAAACCAGGCACAGAAGGACAAATGCCTTATCATCTACACATATGTGTAATCTAAAAAGGTTGCTCTCGAGGAAGTTGAGAGTAGAATTGTTATTAAAGGCTAGGGAGATCATGGGGGACAATAGTCACTAAGTTGCACTAGGAACTAGAAGTTCTGGTATCTTCCTATATGGGAGGATAGCTATGAATAACAATAATGCACTATATTTCAAAAACCTGGAAGACTTTTAAAGTTTTTAGCAGAAAGAAAAGATAAATGCTTCAGATTTGAAACCTCATTTAAAATGTACAAAAGTTATACATATACTAAAATACAGCATGTTAGTCCATTAAAATAGAAATTCATGTATTCATGTATCTACTTAAAAGAAAACTTAAAAGGTAGAGGAAAATTAACAAGTATTTTAAAAGATGTAGACACATTCAAATGATCATATTGATGATAGGAATGCAAAATGGTATATCCAGTGTGGAAATCAGTTTGGCAATTCCTCAAAACCTAAACAGAATTATCATCATGTTGCCAAGCAATTTCACTTCTAAGTGTATATGCAAAAGAAACTGGGGACTCCAATAGGTACCTGTACTCCAATGTTCATTGCATCACTGGTCATAATAGCCCAACTGTGGGAACAACTAAAGTGTACACCGATAGATGACATGTCAGAAACTTAGAGGAGACGATTTTTGACTTGCAAAATTACCACTCAGGCAGGAAGATTGATTTCTTTCTTTGGCACCAATATATACACATATCCCAAACTCACCCTTCTCCTTAGCTGATACTGGGAAATTCCAAGCCATCAACTGATTGTGTACTCCACAGGGCATTTGAGATATAGAATGTTTCCAAAGGATTTGGTCCGATTGCACTGTGAAGAGCTCCACTGACATAAGTACTCACAGCAGGTATTATAGGCTAGGGGACATCTGTGGATTAAAAACAGTTACATAGAACTTCAAAAATCTAAATTAAAGTGGCACATTGCAAGAAAAAAGCCCACTGCTTTCCCTCCTCCTAATTCACAAATACGGACAATTATTCTTCATTTTTATTTCTAGGAATATGAAAAATAGGTTCACATCTGACCTCCATAGAAATTAAACCAGGACTAGCTGTTAAAACTTAGAATACAGTCCAGCATGTTGATATTTTTTATTAAGACCTTCCCCAAATACATGAAAAGTCTGGAAAAGGTGGGTCAAAAGAAAGATCACAGCCACATTCGTGTACACACACACACACACACACACACACACACACACACACTCCTCCAGAGATCATCATCTCCATTATTCCCAATTTGGGACAATAAATTGAGAATAACAGTAACAAAGGATCTGGGGAGTAAGACAGGCAGACGTATCAGATCCAAATCTATACCTGTGGTTCTGTACTTATACCTGTGGTTCTGTACCACAACCCTCTGCTCTGAACCAACTTTTGTTATATAAACAGGAAGCTGAGGTAGAATAAACAACATGGCTTCAAACAGTAAACTGAAAAGAAGCAGGACAGTGAGAACAGGGAAATTAATTTCTTACTAACTACTAAAGGACTTTGACATTCTGTGGTTGTGTCACACATACAGCCATGCCCTGACCCTTGAGAATCAGCACAAACAAGGGGCTGCCATCAAGAATAGGTAAAAATGACCGAGTCGAATGTATTGGCCAGAAAACAAAAGCAAGGATGAGAACCAACAACCACCAAAGTTGAAGAAGTGATATTAATAATCCGTTTCTGTAAGTGATCCCAAGCCCTCCTCTGAGGCTCAGGACTGCAGGGATAGAAAACCTCACTATAAGTAGTAAATCTGGTATTCCTGGATAGGGAGGTTGCTAATATGGATACAATGTGGCTGTGTCCCTTTAGAACTGCACTTCCCACAATTGCCCTTAATTTAACTGAACTGGCTGAGAAGCAGAAACTCTCTTCGGGATTGAAAACTTCAAGGCATCCTGGTGAGACATCAGATGTGAAAGGGTTAGTACAAGTTCTTGGACTCAGAAGAGCATGAAGGCATCTGTATTCTCCTCCTAAGTCTTGTCATCACCCACTTCCCCAAAGCTGTCAAGATAGAGGATCGTTCCTCACTTATAACCCTGCCATCTACAACCTCCAGACAGCCAGAAGCATGGTCTTGGTCATGGAATGATTTATTGTATTTCCTGAACATGTTGAAACTAAAAGAGGTGCTAATTTGTGAACCTGTTTGTGCCACCCCAATGGAAACTGGATAGACAGTGATCATGGCTATCTTTGTATTGTTCATCTGTGACTACATTTCAACTGAAGAATTGGGACAATGTCTTCATCAGGTTTAGCATGCAGCTTTATTAAAAACACGCAAATGGAATACGAAAATACACTCATATCAATATAATGCACAGAAATATAGCTTATTTAGGATGAATAGGTTCAGTACCGGGTTACATTACAGATACCAAAAATACCTCAATTTATATTATATATAGCACAATAAAAACCAGCAAGTGTTCAATCTCTCAAGATGACTAGCATCCATAAAATTGCTTCCCTCAACACAGAGAGCATAAGTATCAAATTTATCATTATAATATGCATTAGATTTATAGTGGAAAGACAAACAATGCTCAAGGTTTTGTGAGAATATACAGCTATTCAGAGTTTGAGTATTAATCGGATAACTTTATCTCTCACATCAGGGTCACTATGGTCTGCTAAGTCTTGGAGTTTCTGGTCAAACTCTTTTGCCTCATGGAATATGGAAATAAGTTCAGATTTAGTGAACATGTCCTTGGTAAACAGCTTTGCCCTTTTTTTGAACTGGAAATTTATATTCTCGAATATTTCAATGATATGCAGAATATTAGCCTTTGACTCATTCTTGTGAAAGTGGGCAACCAATGACGATAACACTTCAGCACTGATCAGTTCTCTTGTATTGGCTTGGTTTTTTGACAAACATAAAATAACTCTCAAAATCTGAAACTTGATTTTGACACTTCCTTTGTTTAACAATGAGATGAAATATCGAACATAACTGACAATCACGTGGTGATACTCGAATTTCGTACTCAGGCTTGCTAACAGTTTCAGCTCCTCCACTTGTACAGAGCAGTTCAAAGGACAAGAGAGTATGTCCCTACAAACTTTATTTACATGTGCCTCATCCTCTTTTGCTTCTCCAGAGGTGTCAGTGCTCACATTCACATTTATATGTTTAGGGTATCTTTTAGCATTTGGATTATTGACAAAATTTTCAATCATAACAGTAATACCAACATCATGAACGATATCTTGAGTAAATGGGTAAGCGGGACTGATACCCATTATCATTGTAGCTATCTCATGAATGAAAGGATCTCTGGTTAGCCTAAGGAGGGCAACAAGCTTATCAAACTCTACAGGCTCTAAACTAAAGGTACGCGATTTACAGCGGCAGGCCTTCGGGTTGGGTCCATACTTTTCTCTTTCCCGGATTTGCTCTTTTACTTCAGCTAAAGTCTGGATGTAAGGTCCTTCAAAAGGTGGAATCTTGGTCAACGGTCGAATACCCAGAGGAGTTTCAATTAAGGTCGCAACCAGAGTCCAGTTCCCTTCTGGAGGTAAAGTTTTCTCGCCTTCCTCAACTGGGACCAGGACAATAAACCTGCCCCTTGCCCATGCTGCTGCTTTTTTTTTTAAAGTAAAGTCGAATGTGTCCTCTGGGGGTTCGGGTTCTTCCTCAACCTTAGGTGGGGGCTGATAAACTTGAAGAGGATATTCGTCTTCAGGCCAGAACCAGGACCCTACACTAGGCTCTTCTCCAGTCCAAAACCAGGAGCACACATATTCTTCACCCTCATCAGTGGCGTTGATGACAATACTCGCCTTGTCCCCAGCCCCAGATCTGACACAGGTCTCTTTTTTTACCTCAGATCTGTGCTTCATACTGCCCTTATCTCGAGCCTTGGCAGAGCACTTGACAGATGCCTCACTACCAGCGTCAACCTTGACTTCAGACTTGGTTACAGTAATGACCACAGACATAGACGAGGCATCTGACTTGGTGTGAGGCACTAGTCCAGGCTCTGCCAGGAGCTCTGTCTTAGCCTGAGCATTGGCTCTAGTATTAGTCTTATCTTTCTTTTTTTTCACTTTCCATGTCACAGTCTCAGGCTCAGTGTGAGTCACTGTTTGTCTCCTGGCCACTGCTTCATCCCTAGCCTCAGCCTTGTTCCTCAATTCTTTTGGTTCTGCCTCAACCACTTTCTTGGTCTGACCCTTGGCTTTTCCTTTAGCATTGGCAAGGCTTTTGTTTCCAGGTTTTAAGGTAGCCCCAGACTCTTCTCTAGCTTTCCCTTTACTTTTAGAGCCAATCATGGTTCAAGACAAAGGCAAAGTCAAACAATGTGCCCCTATCTCAGCCTTGCCTGAAAGTCAGCCCCAAGTTGGTGTTTTCATATAAAGTCCAGTAGTCATTCGGCCCCCTTTCCAACTACAGTTTCGGCCAATGATATAGACAGCATGCTGAGGAAGCTCACTCAAGATAAAGGAGGATAGCTGTGCTTGGGCGCAGGCCTGTGGAGGGTGGTGGTCTTCAGCCACTCCAAGGCCACCAGATCTGTCACTGAAGTTGGACCTAGGGGTGGAGGAAGGAAATGGGGCTTTAAGTCTCTTCCAATGTTTTTTTCCTCATGCTGATTAGCACAGAGAGATATTTACATATGGAAATTCAGAGCTCTATGGGAGAGAAGTAGACAACTAGCAAACTCCTTCTTTCATTTCACCCACTGTCTACACCTCCATGTGCTACCAACTGTCTTTCCAAACAGGGAGCGAGAGAACAGGAAAGTTGGATGGACATGAGAGGCTGCAGAATCCCTAGGCTGTTTCCTGACCTGGGATGGAGCCAACAAATCTCTACTATTCTATCTTCAAGGAGTCCCCATAGTCATACTAACCTGCACTGATGTGAAGTAATTTCCTCCTCCCTTCTTTGCTTCCACTCGTGACAAGTCCTGCAGCAGATGTGGTAGACCTACAGACAGACAAAGAGGACAGAGAACCTAAGCTCTTGGGATACAGACCTTGGTTCCTGGCCTCTACTCTTGCCCTCTCAGACAGTCTGTCTAGCTTTTCCTTCCTGGTCTTCCACTCCTCCCATTACTCATCTTCAAAGCTGTTCCTCCTCCTCCCTTATGGCCCACCATTTTCCTCTTCAGTGATTGTTCTGGTAATGCCCTAGTTGAAAATTAGATAATGACAAAGTGTTAGAGCAGGACAAGGAAGAGGGCACAAAAGGGAGATATCTGCATCCTGTATCTATCTCCAAAGTACACTAAGACTCCTAAGTATCTATAGGTACAGCTTGTATCTATCTCCAAAGTACACTAAGACTCCACAGACCAAGTAGGGATCACTGATGAACTGACAAAACAGAAGGATATAATTTTCTAGTCTCAGTGGCCCTTGTGTGTCTAGCTTCACACCAACCTGTGAAGCTTCATTATTTCCTAGCTTCAAGTTGGGTTCACAACAGTCAACAGTTATACAAACCTATGACTATGTCTATCAAGGGAAATCCACAAACAGGAGAATATAGGTAATGAGTCTATTTTAGAAAACAGCACCTAAGGAATAAATGCTTTTGGGATATAGATACTTGTTAGGCCAAGAGTTCTCTGATTGCCTTTCTTTTTGCCATGGCCAGATGCCACCCCCAAATCTCCACATTCCTCTGCTATGTTCTTAAAGCTTGAAATTTTCCATGAAGACAACTAAACCATCCCTGCACGGTCGTAGTGGTGTCAGTAGGGATGAATGCCTGACAATAACAGGAAGCTGGGAAAATAATGAATAGTATCATTTTCAATTTTCTTACAGGTTCTTATGAGTGTTTCTCCTCCCCACAAACCTATCGCGTTTTGTAACATAGCTGGAGTTTTTCCCACTATACAGAAACAAGGTCAATTTTGTTTATCTTCTCCCCTCCCCTTCTGATCTGATGCCCTGAAACGTCGAGAATGTAAATTGGCAACACATCTACAAATGAATGTTTGATAGCCCCAAATCAAAAGAACAAGATGTGATTAATTAATGGTCATATAAGTAACCAGAACATGAAGCAATCTCTGATTCTGAGACTTAAATGTCCCCACATTTAAAACTTCTTGGTATACTCCCTCCCTGATTCTCAAGGCTCCCCAGACAATTGCCCTAACCAGCAATGGCAGCCCTGCCTCCTCTGACAAGTACGCCATCTCCGCGTGATGCCATTACATCCATCTCCCTTCCCAAACGTAATCGGAAGTGAGGCGAGTTTATGGAAACGTAGATAGCTTTTTATCATCCCCCTAGTCTCGCTCTCTTTTTTCAACATCCGCCTCCTAAAACCAGGTCACATATCCCGCACCAATCTCAGAACCCGCATTCACGCGCCCAAGCAATGCCCTCCTTCTTACTAACCTATTCCGCTTGAATCGGAGGCTGTTTTCTTATCTGCGTGTCTCCAGAGGTGTCTTGCCTCACAGAAAGGAGGCAGGCAAACGCAATCGGCAGCGAGGTGCAGGGAGCAGAGACAATGGCGGCGACTGTATTTAGGGGCTGGCCGAGCACTTGCGACTTAGGACAAAATGCTTACTTTACCGGATAAAGGGCCATGGTTAACAAACTACCATCACCTACCGGCACTCTCCTCTCTCCCAGGTGCCTAAGGCTCCTCGGGAACCCTCTGGAAGCGGCTAAACAACATCCACCCACATCCGCCGGGACGCACTAGGCGCGGCTACGTCAAGTTACGGAAGCCCGCAGAGGGCGGGGCTAGAGTTGTTAAAGGAGATCCGGCTTCGGGAAGAGGAGTGATACACTACTGCCATTCATATATTGCCCCGTTTCTCCCACACTGCGACACTAAGATTCTGGTGCCAAACTAGGGAAAAGAGCGCAAAACATCAGAAAGCAGATTATTCCCAAATGTCTGTATTAGCTTACCTCTTAGGAGTGCCTCGCACCAAGCTCACCATGTCTTTCCTTTGTCGCGGAATGCATATGGTTCATGCGGTTTTCACGCTATGGAGTCAGGGAAAAAGCTGTGGCTTGGCAGCGCGGAAGGATAGCAAAGAATTCTAGTGTTTACACGTTCGTCACTAAACTCCACAGCCCACTGAAGTGGGCTGGTTAGGAAGGGGAGGGACCCAGGTTGAAAAGTGGGGGGTGGGGTGCAGAATTCTGAATACTGAGTTAGGAATAAAAATTCCAAATTATTCCAACAAATTCTAAACTGTTCCCTTTACAAGAAAAGTCCTGCAGTGACGCACTTGTAAATGTTTGTTTACATAAAATGTATGGTGTAGCAGCAGAGCCTAAGGTTAATTGCTCTGCTGCCAGATTGTTATCAATCTCCCATTTTATTTCTCCTATTGCCATCTCTTGAATCTTTTGCTCTTATGTCCTGGCGTATTTCTTGTTTTGAAATAGTTTTATATAACATGAGATAAGGATATGGGAGAAATGGCAGTGGAAAAAAAAAAAAAAACAAGTAACTGTCTCTGTGCAGATGAGTCACATCCCCAGGATGACCACACCACCTAAAGATGCAGTGGCCTGGATTTGATCTGGGCACAGGGAAAACAACTACATTCTTTTTGGTTTTCTGAGACAGGGTTTCTCTGTGTAACAGCACTAGCTGTCCTGGAACTAGCTCTGTAGCCCAGGCTGGCCTCTAACTCACGAGAGATCTGCCTGCCTCTGCCTCCTGAGTGCTGGGATTAAAGGAGTGTACCACCACTGCCCGGCTGCAACTACATTCTTAATGAAGAGAAGTAATACCAAAATACCTTTTATCGTCGGGCAGTGGTGGAAGCCGGGCAGTGGTGGCACACACCTTTAATCCCAGCACTCGGGAGGCAGAGGTAGGCGGATCTCTGTGAGTTCGAGGCCAGCCTGGGCTACCAAGTGAGTTCCAGGAAAAGGCGCAAAGCTACACAGAGAAACCCTGTCTTGAAAAACCAAA